GTTACTAACAATTAAATTCAAAAATTTCAAATCGTTCTAAAAAAATTATCATTAGCTAGGGGGGTTAATTATAGTCATTTTTGGTGAATAGACATACCCCCGAAATCCTACCCACTTTCTAGAAAAAAATTCGAGAAGGTGTGAAATTTTCGACGGAAAAAAAAAAATTTCAAATCGTTTTGGAAAAATTATTTTCGGTTGCGGGGGTCAATTACAATAATTTTTGGTGAACAGACCTACCCCCGAAATCTTACCCATTTTCGAGGAAAAAATTCGAGTAGGTGGACAAATTGCCGTTCTACAGCCGAAACTTTGAACGTTAATAACTTTTTAACGAAGCCTCCATCAACAAATTGGTATTCTTGATTTTCGACTTATTTTGGCCTCTAGAATCCCCCATTAAAATTTTTCCAGGGGTAGCCGAACACTCTGTATAACAGAATCAAAGCGTTGCAAACTCAACTTGAAACAGGAAACAACCAATTTACAAGTTAAAAGTTAACTATTTCATCCAAGTCCTGAAAAAAATCACGTTAAATATCTTTTACTTTCGAGTTAAAATGTCCGTGTATCGGTTGCAAAACTTTTCGACGCGATCGACGACGCTAATTTTTTCAAAGTGACTGGTTTCGTTTAACACCGTTCGTGCTCCACTTTTCAAGTATCGACAGTATCAATGTACATACCGCGTTTGACTGAATTAAAAATGCGATAGCCGCCTGCCAGCGATGCACTCGTATCAGAAACGAGTAAAATTTCGTATCATTAATAAATACCAGAGCACACGAGAAATATTTTATCATCGACCGACGAGCGATCTTTATTCGACTACTGATTTATTTGTTTGAGGTACGATGCCATTTAGAATAATTTAATTATTTTAATACGATTTTGCGCGTCTTCGAATCACCGTATAATCGGTCCCCGTCTCTCCCCCGCGCGTATAATAAATGCCATGACGCGCGCGAATAACGACGCTGGTAATTAATAATGAGAATGCAAATAACAATTTTATTCGAACAATAATCCGTACGGGAATTTACTCGGGTATGTACGACCGTAACTTCGCGTATTTCTACGCGTCGAAATCAGCTAGGAAATTTCGACCAACGGACGATTCCATTTTCCAATAGTTAAAACCTGCACCTCGACCTATATCGATGGATTATAAATAAACACTCTTCTTAGCGAACCGAGTTATAGGAAAACGCGTGTAAACGCGTTTAAACCTTCGCACGCGTAATTTCAAATGATATACAGGCATTTAAATAATGGGAAAACCTGAATGTCTTTGTTATTCGCGTACGAAAAGACACTCCCTTGGGCAAAGTCACATTTTGTTTTTTAATAAAAATACTTTATGGATCTATTTGTGATAAAACTGACATTTATCTAAAATTACTATTTTGTAACTTTCGTGAAAATAATTCTATCTACTTGTGTTTTTGATTTTTGTAAGGTGAATGCCAACTCTGATCAGACCAAAGATTCAAATCTTGTTTTTCCATTATTATCGATAAGTTGGAATACAAAAGTTTATCGATTTTCTTATGAGACACAGTTTTATTTGTTTCTGGTGTCCCATATGTGTTATACACTTCTCTGTAGTTAAAACTATATCAATTTTCATGATTGGACGAACCGTCGACATAACGATTCGCAGTGACTCGAGGCAACGTATTGGAAAAATGTTTCGATACCAGTGAAAGACGGCGCGCGGGTACAAAAATTCCATTATTCGGTTTAGCGAGTCCCCCGTGTTATCGAACGCACCCCGCCCCATGACCTAGACCTAAATACAAATGCGCGAGTGCGTCGTAGAATGCAATCTTGCCGACCTTAGTACCGCCAACCTTATCCTTCGAGCTTTCATCCCTCTTTCTCGACGTGTTTCCACGGCCACTCAGCTCAGTTTTCACCACTTATTGTCTTTCTAACCCTTGCCTGGCCCATCGATTCCGCTCCTCTACAGGTTGCTTCGCGACACGCGGTCTGTTGCTTCACAACACCGAGATTTTTTATTAATTTTCTACGTTGGAAATCAGTGAAATCCCCTATGGTACAATGCTTCAATATTCGTACAATAGTATTCACACGACGCAACTTAACTCGATTAGTTTCAATAATTGGCAAGCCAATATGTGTGAAAAGATATTTTCAACGATGAAATGCGTGAAATATCGTTGCAAATCAACGTAAATCAACGTTTGCAATCGATTTTAATATAAATATTTCCGACATTTTTTTCAAATTATAGCGTAATAAATAGAGTATTTGTTATTTTTTAATATCCCTAATGCTAGTGATGTTATTTAAAAATTGACAAATTATCAATTGTAAGCGATTTATACACAATTATATACTACACGTTGTTTATATAAAAAGTGAGCCATTTATTCTGTCTATTTAAAATTATTTTCATTATTTCCGGTACAATAATAAAATGGAACAAGAACAATTAGTGATTTCGGTAAGTTAGTTATAAAATTCTGTTTGGAATTTCGATCAACAAAATAAAAGGTTTCTTTTTATTCTTATAATACTGTAAATATCAACCACTAATAATCGTGGAGAAAAATCATAGGACGGTTTAAAATGCCGCTCAATTCGCGAAACTATAAATGGAAACGAAACTATCGATTGTAAACATCCGAGTGAAATTAGTTACACGAGTTTTGTAATAAAAATGAAACGCGGAAACACAACGGGCAACGTCGAAAACGAGATCAAACCAGGCCAAACGTACCTACGAACTTTTATTATGTTCCGTACGTTAAACCCGGCCTCCAAAATACACGTTTTATTATAAATTTAATAACAATTTGAGAAACGCCATTCCGGGAATTTTCGTCGAATTTATTTCAAACGCGCTCCATCAAATGTTTTATTATCCTCTGCAGTAAAACAAGTATTGAATTCTACAATTAAAAAAAGAATTACCATCTAGGAAAGTGTTCCAATAACACACAGAAAATAGAAATATTCTTAAAATATTCGTAGGTAGTTTATTCCTAAAAACTAATTTTGTTTTTTCGATCGTGGAATGAGAAGCATTTTCGTTGCCAAAATGGATCGTTAAACTTGCTGATAAAATATTTGACATTTAATGAAAATGGGCTCACGTTTGGAGACACTTGTTTTTGTCCCTTTCATTTTTGTCTTTCGTGTTTCTTGACTCGTCCCCCGCATTTTTTTTTATGCCTGTCCTCTCTGCTCTGTCTATTCGCGAATCAGCGTGTCTCCCGTTCCCTCCGATTCCCGGTCTTCCTGAATCCTCCGTCTGTTTCCGGTGCGCGCGGGCGAGCTGGACCTCCCGGGAATTCATCGATCGGCACCATACACCCGCGAGACAGGAGGAAGGATACTGGAGGACCGGGGAATTCTGTACCACGATTTCAAGTTGGAATTTACGTAAACGGATCGTCGAACACGTGGCAAGCGTTTCTTGATTTGATTCGAAGCTTCCCCCCCCCAGAGCCCTCCAGATCCGACGATTATTATAATTTCGACGATCTCGTCGTGTCTTCCAGAACTTGGCGAACGCGCAATTGACACGAATAATACACTGTATTTCAGAGCCACCGGCGCGTGCTTAAATTGCTCGACCGAACTTGTAAAAAAAGATTTCAAAACGAAACTTTGTATGCAACAAAAATGTTTGTAAATTTAATTTCCATCGTTGATAGTTTTGTTGTGAAACCAAGCATTACGAGATATCGTATATTTCATAGTTGACGACGCAGGTACTTAGCAATAGTCTACTTTAGATATGTTCTAAATTTTACCTACAACTGTTTAGAAGAACCTATCCTCGTTGATAATAATTCGACGATAATTAGCTTATTTTGTTTCTTGATTTAATTAAAATAGGCTGAAAACGAGCTTCTTTTCTTCTAAACTTGATTCACATTACATTTGGTACCAAAAATATTAATTTTTAAAAATTTGTTTTAAGCCACGAATGAGTAGAATTTTTTGTAATTTGCTTGTGTAGAGAACCTTTGGTTTCTATTTCTATGCAATTAAACTACCCAAGTGATGTATTCGTACTAATGCAATTTAAAGATTGTTAACTTACTTAGCTTCACCCTACATCACTTATTTACGCGCTACCACTTATTTATAAATACATTACCCGCTCCATCGATTGATACCGGCTTCCATCTCACTGTAGGAAAGCTCTCGTGAAAGCACTTTTACCACCCAAAGGTACTCGATTGTACGAGCAATAATACAAGATGGAATATGGTGAAACTAACGCGAGGAAAGAATGAAAAGAAGACACGAAAAGTCGAATGAGCAATCTATTCCCACACTAATGTCGACTTTTGTCGGATTAGAATCTGTATTACCTCGTGTGAGAAATGTTAGGGAGTGCACGAGCTCGATAAAACGATCATCCACATTTTAAAAATGTGTTATAGGATTCGTATTAATGATCCATAAATATAGAACGAACATTGTGACATCGTATCGTTAAAACTTGAAACGTTTTAAAATTATTTAACCTCTTCAGGTATACCGATGCGAGGAATACACGTTTAGTTTATGAATTATCTTATGCATATTGCATCAGGGAATCAATCGAGATGTAAATAAATATTCATATTCGAGAGATTCCACGGGTCGATAAAAGTTTGAACGTTTCATTTACTTCGAACAAAATAATTCGTCCCTGAAGAGGTTAATCGCCCGATGGCTAGTAAAAATTATTTACATTGAATCTTCTGGAACTGTTTACGCTCGAGATATCTTCCCGAAGATAAATTAATATTCATGCGTGGCTGTCATGAGTTTAAAATACATTCTGGATTATACGACTCATCTCGAGATACGCATTGTTTTTCACGAACGTTATCTCTCTAAACTTCTGCCAATGGTATTTCCTATAAGGATGATTTACACCGCGACGAAGCAACGGTTCGTATGTTAAGTTTCAGTCCCAGAAGATCAATTTCATAAATCTAAAAATAAAATACGTAACCGATGGAATAACTTACCGAGATCGGAGAGCGACACTTTCTCTAGGAAAGGATCCACCACCGGCAGCTGAAAAATAAAATTACAAATTAGTCGTCGATTACATGTAGAATAACAGGATTTACAATTACCACCGTTAATTTTTAGTAAATGTTTGTTTTTGTTTCGCTAAAAAATGTGAAAACATCGTAATAATGGTTTATTTCGCATTCTTTTGCTCCGATATACTGCTCAAAATAATTGGGATATTACGTTTCCGAATGTGTATTTGATATCATGTTATTGTTATTTATCAACTTTAATAATAAAAATTGTAATAACACCTGCATGTATTCCGAGGTTATTTATTAAGTCTAGAGATAGATAATAACGTAATAAATAGAAGTATTCAATAGTCACTTGCTATTTTGTAGTGTTCCTAATGTCAATGATATTAAAAAATGTACAAGATCGAGATTCATTTATTCTAAGAGTTTCAATGATTCTATGTTTATTCGCCCAAATAATAACCGATTAGAAAATTAAAAAGCTGGATATCTTCGAACGTGCTATATTTTGAGTCGGTAATTATTTTAAGCAGTATACGCTGTTCTCAAAGCGTCGAGCAGCGTTTGATCGTCTAATCTTTCGTTCGAATATCACAAACGTTTCGTGCAAAGTAGAACGAAAATAGCAATAAGTACCAACGCCTTCTTCAACAGAGACTTTGGACTGAACGGCTGTCGCTTCTTCACGTTCGTCGTTATTTTGGTATACCAGCTTGACAAGATACCAGACGAGCTGGTACTATGAGCCATAGAGCTAGGACTAGGGCTTTTGGCGACGCTTCCGGTCGGCTCGCTGGTTTGCCGACGGAACAACATTTTCGTGGACAAATTTCGATCCGATCGCGCGAAGCAAAATCTTGGTCGAAACACGGTTTTTCTATCGTCTTGCTCTTCGACGATTCGCGTCTCGTCGATCGACTCCACGAGACTTCGTGGAAACTTCGTAACGAGTTGTTAAAACATTCACGGCTCTCCAAACATTTTGCGAAATTTTCGAGAAGACTGTCGGACGATCGTCAGAGTTCCCAAGCGTCTATCGTCGATCTTCCATCAGGGTCAGCAAGCTTTATTTCTCGCGTCGTACCGTCATCGTCGTCGCGTTCTTTACACCGCGGTCAGAAAGTAATTGAACATGGATATCAACAGGCAACATATGAAGCACATTTTCAACAAGTTTTCACAACCTTTTCGCGCACTCGTACGAATCGGTCCAGTTCCCAAACACTGCGCGAAATCGTTCGAAAACCGCGACTGATCCGTGCACGTTGCTCTTCCGCGGACTATCCGTGGAAACAACACGTCGAACGTTCAAGCAGAAATATCTACGAAAAGCAATCTGTTGCTGAACGGAACGTTGCGCAACTGGCCAGTTGCGTCAAGAACACGGCTAGCTCGGGACACGAACGTAGCTATCGTCGATCGTACGATCAACAAACTAGCGGTGCGATATTGCGAGACGATTTCGATACCACGACCTTCTTCGATGAACTGTGTGTCTTCAAAGAACGCTCGACCGATTCGAGTAACACAGATGCCACATTGGCATTGGACGCCGATGACCACTGGCGCTGAATACGAATGAGCTCGACACGACTATGGGCTAAGGAAAATCATTCCTTTGTGGTATGAATCGTGTCCGATAGCGAGTGCCTATTCTTCGATGAAGGAAATACTCCTTTCATAATTCTCGCTTGGAAAACAGAATTCTTCGATGGACGAGGAGAAACGCGTTAGTCTAATGGCGGATTATTGCGTTTGCTCCAACGTTGTCTAAAATAAAACTTCACTTTCTGTACGAGTTCAATTTAAAACAAATTTCTGAAGTATGAAATTACTGTATTGTTTGTGTATCTATTATGTTTTATCGCTAAAATGAGCAGATCTTTATGCAAATTCATATTTTTATTAATAGAAATAATGAAATGGAAGCTTTGTAAAACTATGTCTCAACCCTAAAATTTCTTCTATCTTTTTTAAAAATTTAAATTTGTTATAAGTGCATAAATATCCAGTCTACTTATCAGAATCAATTTTTTTGGAAAACTTCCAAATACAATTTATTAATTTCTTAAAATATTCTGTGTCTAACACAAATATTGAAAACATTTATATGCTTGAAAATAAAAGCCAAAACGATAGCAAATATAAGTAAATAATAGTCCTGTAATTTTTGATTGAAAAATAAGCAAAATTCGACAAAATGAAGAATTTTATAAAAAATATATTTAAAAAAAGAAATTTTGTCTGCAATCTAACAAAATAATATGCATTGAAGCTTGTTTACAGTCGGTTATTTTTGATCCGTTAACAACGAAGTGATTGCACATTTTCTTTTTCTATTATAGTAAAAATACAGTACGAACAATGAACGAAATAATATTTTCATCGAATTCAACACCGAATTAAATTTTCTCCTGAGAAAATAAGAATCTGAGAAACGCTTTAATTTATTGTTTATAATTTTATTCTCGAAGCAAACCGTATCTAGAGTCTCGTGACTTATGGCAGGGCTAAAACTGTTTCCTTTCCATGTTTATGTTGCACTATGTTTTTTAATTGCAAATTACCATTCGCTGATGCAACGTTTACAGTACGTTTATATTGCATGCAAACGCACTTATCGTTCCAGTGCATATTTCAGCATTATCGTACCTCGTACACAAGTTACTCGTTTATACGTGGGACTAATTTCAGGCGAACATACAACCCACTTGATTTTCGGGTTACAAATATTTATATACTTCAATAATTGTTGCGATGATACAACTAATTATAGAATAATACTATATTATCGTATTCGTCAAAATTACAAATCCAAACACCTAGACATTTCAACGTCAGGTATAAAGTAATTATTTTCAGCAGAGATACCCATTTCACGCGTAATTAATATATTTGCATTTAAATCCGTCTACTATTTAATACACGGGTACCAGTGTTGGGCAAAAGCTATTTCAAGCAACGAATAAAATCGATTCATTCGTTATTCGTGACTTCCTTATTCCTTACTCCCACGTTCAAACGTAGAACAATAAAACGAATAAATGATTAAATAATGATTTTAACACAGATATACTAATTACACGTGTGCACGTGTGTCATAAATATATGTTGAAAATCGTGGTCTCCAATTTTCAAAAATTAATACAAAGGTAAGTATATGCAACTAGTTCTCGAAAAAAAAATGTCCAAAATTAAAAAATAAAATAAATCAAATTCCATGGAAAAGAGACTGGAATATACCATTGATTGGACGAGAAAATTCATTGACGCGCGTGAACGTACTTTAAAATAGAAAGATGAGAGAAACAGCATCTCGGGTCGTGTAAGAAATTTAATAAATAGAGACCCCAAGATATTTTTACACGGTTACTCTTGTGTAACTGGCGAAGGCTGCAAGAACGCTATTCGATCGAAGATAATTTAAAACGAACAATATGTATGTTGCTTCGAGGGCAACAAAATTCTGACTGTCGATGTTTATGCATTTCTATCGACGAGGTGATTCACGTGTGCAATGGCAGAGCGTGTTAACGTGTTCCTCGGCGCGTTCGTTACGAGCAAAACAAAACGCACGGTCGGGCTATTTGAGATATTCTCGACGACGGAACGACTTCGTTCGTACTGTTGGCGGCGACAAATCGCGAAACACATTTGCTGGGGACCAGTTTGCCAAGTGTCTACCGGTATCGTTGTTTAACACAGTTCGTGAAAACCAGCGACAACTTTCTAATTTTCTCGTTTAACCCGCAGTTTTCGCGTTCGCGGTATTGTCGCGCGAGATCGCTGACTTGAGAAACTGTGGCGGACAGAAATGATAACTTTGTCAGTAATAATCTTTTGCAAACGATACGTACACGTGCTGATAGAAACGCTGAAGCTTGAAAACAAACTATTCGCGTGACAAATGATAATATAATATACAGGGTGTTAAAATTTTAATGAGAGATTCTAGAGGCCAAAATAAAACGAAAATCAAGAATATCAATTTGTTGATTGAAGCTTCGTTAAAAAGTTATTAACGTTCAAAGTTTCGGCTGTCGAACGGCAATTTGTCCACCTACACGAATTTTTTTCTCGAAAGTGTGTAGGATTTCGGGGGTATGTATATTCACCAAAAATTATTGTGATTAGCCCTTCTAGCTAAAAATAATTTTTTTAGAACGATTTGAAATTTTTTTTTCGCCGAAAAATTTCTGCAGCTACTCGAATTTTTTTCTCGAAAGTGAGTAGAATTTCGAGGGTATGTATATTCACAAAAAATGATTATAATTAGCCCCCCTAGCTAAAAATAATTTTTTTAGAACGATGTGAAATTTTTTTTTCGTCGAAAAATTTCTGCAGCTACTCGAATTTTTTTCTCGAAAGTGAGTAGGATTTCGAGGGTATGTATATTCACCAAAAATTATTGCGATTAGCCCCTCTAGTTAAAAATAATTTTTTTAGAACGATTTGAAATTTTTTTTTTAAATGTTTTTAGGTTTCGAAACAGCTTTACAAAATCTACTATCTAAATTTTAACCCTTTCAAACGATCTCTTTATACCTTCGTATCAATTCTATCAAGCTGAAAAATACCAAATTTATGTATTTAAGATCAACTGTATAAAAAGCTTCAGACGCTATTAAAAGTTAAGAAACTGAAAGTAACGTCCAAAGTTGTTCCTCTTTGGAAACTTATCCAAAGTTATCCGAAGTTTGATAATACCTGCGGATCTAATAAAGGATCGATTTATCGCAAGATAATTACATTAAAATATTAAAATTAAAATATCTTTTAAATTCGCGATCTTTCGTCGGAAACAAATTACAAAGAAGAACGGGGTTAGTTTTTTTCGAATAATCACGAACTGAACCGTGTCGTACGAACGCTGTAAAAAAGTGTGCTAACAAGTGATGCCAATACGCGTAAAAACAATTGTAAATGGAAATCAATAATCAGGCTACGCGTTGCAACGCGATCTCGAGTCGGATTAATTTCTCTGCAACGTCAATGCAGCAGTTTGCCTTTGCTATTTTTACT